GTTCAAGAAAACAAGAACATTTTCCATGTCTTGTTCCCAGTATGTAACATACCAGGACCAACAGAGATAGGTACAAACATGCATACACAAGACATGTTGAAACAGGTCCCTCTTGATTAAAACAGCTCCATCTAAAGCAGTAGTTCCCAATCTTTTTTGACCAGGGACCACTTTGACCAGAGACCACTCTCCAACATTAGTACCAAAAGGGTTCCGAATCAATTTTTGGTCAACTTCAGATTTAGTTTGGTTATTTGGGGTGCTGATTCAGAAAATTGCACTGGATAGACCACATCAGTTCTAGTTTCCAGTACAGAACATATGCCATCCATTAGTCACCATCTGCTTGCCCACAGAAAACCACATTTAATAAGCCTTGGCACTATAAGAAGGTTTCGCGAGACCATTCGTACTTGTTGCAATGGTGTGATAACAGTGAGGCCATGGACCATATTTTAGTTATTACGGACAACTGGTGGTCCACAGACCACAGCTTGGGAACCACTGATCTAAAGCTTTAAGAGGCAATACTGATTTCCATGTCCATGTGATAAAATGTTTTGCAAGCATAGCATGGATTGTAAAAACATAAAGCATGGGCTAGGCTAGATGAGAAAGCTAGATGAGAGTTAAATTATGAGAGATTCAAGATGTTAGACTATATTTCAGAGGAAGGAACTGGCAAAACCACATCTGAGTTCACCTTGCCTAAGAAAACCCTATTTATTATTTATTTATTTACTTCACTTGTATACCGCTCTTCTCAGGCATCAGGCGACTCAGAGCGGTTAACAACCAGTATCAACAACACAGTATCAACAACACCAACAACCAGTATCAACAACACCAACAGAGATAGATACAGACATGCATACACAAGATCATTAATCATTTAAAACAGTAATATCAATTAATTAGCATCAAAACATCAATACAACAATACAGCAAAACAACAATCCATCACGTCTCATCAATAGAATCAGCATCCGATCTCGTTGTCCATTAATCCATATTCCAGTAATCAATCAATTGCACTGCTTAGTTAAAAGCCTGTTCGAAGAGCCAGGTCTTCACTCTCTTCCGGAATGCCAATAAGGAGGGGGCCGATCTAATGTCTGTAGGAAGGGCGTTCCACAGCCGGGGGGCCACTACGGAGAAGGCCCTGTCTCTTGTCCCCGCCAGGCGTGCTTGTGAGGCCGGCGGGACCGAGAGCAGGGCCTCCCCAGATGATCCACATGACCATGGAGGTGTCTATGGACAATGCAGGCTCTTCGGCTTAGAAATGAAGATGAGCACCATCCCCCAGAGTTGGACACGACTGGACTTAATGTCAGGGGAAGCTTTACCTTTACTACCTAATTGGTTCTATCATAAAACATGGGAAAAGTTTATTAAATTGCAAAAACTTTGTTTTTGCTGGACATCCTGCTGCACATTTGCTATAGTCTTTCAATGACTATCTCCTAGTGTCTCAACCTTTTGAACATAGTCACAAAAATGAAGTTTCTAGAGTATAACAACTACCTTCAAAGTATGGTAAGTATCGCAATTAAAGATAAAATAACTTCGGATTGTTGTAGGTTTTTCGGGTTCTATGACCATGTTCTAGAAGCATTTTCTCCTGACTTTTCACCTGCATCTGTGGCAAGCATCCTCAGAGGTTGTGAGGATGCTTGCCATAGATGCAGGTGAAATGTCAGGAAAGAATGCTTCTGGAACATGGCCATACAGCCCGAAAAACCTACAACAACCCAGTGATTCCAGCCATGAAAGCCTTCAACAATACAGGAAATAACATTTTCAAACCAGGAACAGATTTTTTTTTCAAATGTTGTTAGATAGTATTATTGTAATACTCCGTTATCCTATTTAAAGTCACTTTTAAAATGTCTGTTTCTCCTCTTCCCACATTCCCTCTTTGTCTTCATCTTAAGTCAGTGGCTGCAAACTGAGTTCAAAGTGCAAAATGGGATTTGCGGTCAGTTAATTCAGCCAAGGGGAAGGGAAACGAAAGAGCCCCCCGTAAATATCAGGGTTGACCTTCCCTCTCCAGACTCTCAGAGTGAAAAGACGTAGCTGTTGTCCTGGACTATTTATTTATATCTTCCTGCAGAGGTAAGAAAATGCTTATTTGCAGGACTGGCCAAAGACATTCTGCTGCCTGAGGCAGATCAGCAAACGGAGCCCTTCCTCCACTCCTATAAAGTTAATGTGTGTAGTGCCATAGGGCACGCAAGTTATTTTAGCACCTGAGGCAGCAGATTTCACAAATGTCTCTCCCAGTTTCTGGCAGGAAAAACACTGACACCTTAATCTGTGACCGGAGGTGGCCACCTCAGTTCGGCTAATGGCCGGTCCACCCTGGCCTCTGTTTTAGATGAGCAGCTGACCACTGAACGGGATTGACATTTCCAACCAGAATATGAAAGGTAGAGCTGGACTCATGCATTCTGCCATTGAAGGCAAAGATGAAACTTGCTGCACGTCCTATTTTCCTACATCAAAAGAAAATAGGACACTTTCTGGCCAAGAATGTCAGGATGTGGTCAAAAGGGCCAAAGGTTTTTTTCAATGAGGAAGGGCAGATGACCTAGCAGAGCCTGCACTAGGTTACTTTTGCCTAACCCTACTGGGAAAGACAAGTCTGTCCTCTCCTCTTCCCCCATCCCCAGTTCAGTTAGTTGACAAATACAATGGCGAAGAGAGAGAAAATTGGACATTGATAAATTATCTTGAGTTAGTTATTAGCCCCCAGTGGTACAGTGGGTTAAACTGCTGAGTTTGTTGACTAAAAGGTCACAGGTTCAAATCTCGGGAGTGGAATGGGCTTCCACTGTTAGCCCCAGCTTCTGCCAACCTAGCAGTTTGAAAACATGCAAATGTGAGTAGGTCAATAGGTACCGCTCCAGTGGGAAAGTAACGGTACTCCATGCAGTCATGCCGGCCACATGTCCTTGGAGGTGTCTATGGGCAATGCCAGCTCTTCGGCTTGGAAATGGAGATGAGCACCAACCTCCAGAGTCGGACATGACTGGACTTAATGTCAGGGGAAAACCTTTACCTTTAGTTATTTATGATGTTGTAGCATGCTCTATAATGTTTTATGAGATGTGTTTTGATGACTAGGTTTATTTTTTATGATTGTAATGTTTTTGTTTACGTGTTGTTCGCCGCTTTGAGTCCCAATCTGGGAGAAAAGCGAGAAATAAATAAATAAATAATAAAAGCAGCTGAAAAATGGGACAAGAAAGTATTAATCAGGAGGGTATGGCATGTAACTTGAGCAAAGTGGCAGATGAATGTTAACACTGGTGATGAGAGACTTCCACCACACTTGACTGAGTGAATGAAAAGCTGGCTATGTGGCATATTACTCTCACATCTTTCAGCTGTTCCCTCCCTACCACAGAGAATCTGCTGCCTGAGGCTGTGGCCTTGCTCTGAATCACAACAGGGCTGGCCTTAACATACAACAACAGGATAGACAGCCGGAGACTTTGGCAATTGCCCAGTTTTGCTCCCATCCAAACCTTGGATGTACAGAAGGAAAACAGAAGATGGATCTGTTTGGGAACAATAGATGCTCCCCTGTTTGCTAACTGAAACAAAACCTGTGTCTCAGGGTGCATGTACACTGTAGGATTAATGCAGTTTGACATCACTTTAACTGTTATGACTCAATGCTATGGAAACATGGGATGTGCCTTCCGCAAAAACAAAGCTTTTGCAGTTTAATAAACTTTTTCCATGTTTTCATGATGGAACTAATTAGGAAATGACATTTATAATCCAGGAACAAAAATCGTGTTACATAGTGTTATCTGCTTTGAACTGGATATGAGTCTAAGGCAGTGGTTAGGGGGCCGTGGCCCATCAGTGGGCCCCGAGAATGAAAATCCGGTCTGTGAACCTCCTTCTTTATTTTATTTTTTATTTTATTTCTACTCCTTGCCACAGAGCTAACCAGCTCCACTCCTTTTGGTACTAATGTTGGAGAGTGGTCCCTGGTCAAAGTGGTCACTGGTCAAAGTGGGCCCTAATCAAAAAAAGGTCAGGAACCACTGGTCTAAAGTAAAGGGAAAGGTTTTCCCCTGACATTAAGTCTAGTTGTGTTTGAGGTTGGTGCTCATCTCCATTTCCAAGCCAAAGAGCTGGTGTTGTCCGTAGACATCTCCAAGGTCATGTGGCCAGCATGGAGTGCCATCTGCACCATCATCCAGTTCATATGAGTCTACATTGCCCCAGTTCAAAGCACATTATCTGAATTCAGAAACTGGATTATATGACAGTGTAGATGATACCAAAGACATTCACTGGATAACATTAAGACTACTCACTCTAAGCATGACCTACCTCACAGGATAGTTGTGAAGATAAACTAGGGAGGAGGAAGCCATGCATGCTGCCCTGAGCTCACTTTCCCATTTATGGCAAATCTATCATAAGGTTTTCTTGGCATTGTTTTCCTTTGAGGTTGAGAGAGTGCAACCTGCCCAAATAGGTTTCATGGCCACGTGGCAATTCAAACCCTGGTCTCTGGAGTCATAATCCCACCTCAAACCAATACACCAGACTGCCTCCCACCCACCCCACCCCCCAAACAAACAAACAAACACAACCAACCACAAAACTCAGCAAAGGTCAACAACACCCATGTGCCAAAAGAATAAAATAATAATAATAATAATAATAATAATAATAATAATAATACGTTATTTATACCCCGCTACCATCTACCCAAGGGACGTGGTGTGGCTTACATGAGGCCAAGCCCACAATACATCAATACAAGCAATAACAACAACAGTAAAACAATTAAATACAACTCATAAACAAAAAAGCAATATACAATGACAGCAATACAACACACAATTAAAATCTATGGCTGGGTCAAATGTAATTAAAGTTAAAAAATAATGCTAGGCATGAATAAGTTAGGAGAGATGGGTAAAGTGTAAAGTGCATTTAGAGGGCACAATCCACACTCAGGTCCTACTTACCGGAGCGGAACTTGCTTCGGATCAGCATCGATCGTTCAGAAGCCAGGAGTGTCATCTTTGAAGGTCCTGAAGTTGCAAACCCAAACTTGAGGTAGATCCCGAAATATTGTGGGGAGGAAGGAAAGGAAGAAAGGAAAACCTTGAGTGAAAGCAAAAGGACATTTGTGTGTTCCCTTCTCTCCGTTCATCTATGAAACCCACAGAGTCCAGTTGCTATCCTTGGTGGGGAATTTTGAATTGCAGGGATCTGTAGGAGCATTTTCAGGCTGTAACCTACTCCACAAGGCTGTCGTGGAGAGAAAAAAGTGGCATCTGGGTCAGCCCTGAGGCATGGCAGCATGAAATGGAGTCAAACCTTGTCACTCATTTCATGCTACTTGGATGTTGACTTTTTCACCTGTTTTTAATAGGATTTTTCTTTTAAATTATGAGTTTTGAACCTCCATTTGGGAGAGAAAGAAGAGTGAAAACATTAGGCAAGGGATAGAAATGCAGCAGGGGGAGCCCTTCCTGTTCAGAGACCAAATGAAGGGACAGGCATCACCTGTTGAGTTTCTGTCCTGTTTAAAGACACAGGAGCTTTCCTTCAGAAAAAGAGAAGGTGGTGATGATGGTGGTGGAAGGAAATGGCGCTTTAAAGGCAGAATATACATTCAAAACTTTAAGATAAATACATAAATACACCTTTAAAAAAATACTTGCGTCAGATCACACATCCCAGGATGTAGGCTGGATCTACACTGTCTTATATCCCAGGATCTGATGAGGAGCCCCTGATGGCGCAATGGTGTGCCGGCAGGTCTGAAGACTGACAGGTCTGAGGTTCAAATCCAGGGATAATGTGGATGAGCTCCCTCTGTCAGCTCCAGCTCCCCATGCAAGGACATGAGAGAAGCCTCCCACAAGGATGGTAAAACATCAAAACATCCAGGCAACTCCCCTGGGCAACATCCTTGCAGATGGCCAATTCTCTCACACCAGAAGTGACTTGCAGTTTCTCAAGTCACTCCTGACACGAAAAAAAAACTCAGATTATTTTATATGAACTGGATTATTTGAGTCTGCCAGATAATCTGGGATAAGCAGATAATCTGGGATCAAATCCTGAGATATAAGGCAATGTAGATCCAGCCATAGTCCACACTGAAGTTTTATAGCACTTTTAACAGCCCTAGCTCAGTACTACCCTAGTCCACACTCGAGAATTATAGCAGTTTGATAGCATTGTTGAAGGCTTTCATGGCTGAAATCACTGGGTTGTTGTAGGTTTTTTTGGGCTATATGGCCATGTTCTAGAGGCATTCTCTCCTGATGTTTCGCCTGCATCTATGGCAAGCATCCTCAGAGGAAACATCAGGCAAGAATGGCTCTAGAACATGGCTATATAGCCCGAAAAAACCTACAACAACCCAATGATTCCAGCCATGAAAGCCTTCGACAATGCTATCAAACTTCTATAATTCTGCAGTGTGGACTAGGGTAGCACTGAGCTAGGGCAGTTTGATAACATTATAACAGACTTGGCTCAGTGCTACAGCATTCTGGGATTTGTCATCTAGTGCAGTATGTGGCATTTTCACACACCCACACACAAGCACACACACACACCAACAATATTTTTTTATTGTTTCAACATTAAAACATCTTGCTTACACTTAGTTTCCGTTGGTGGTCATACTTATGCACACTTCATTTTCATGTAACATTTCTTTTATATTGTTTAAGACTTTCATGGTCGGAATCGCTGGGTTGTGAATTTTCCGGGCTGTAAGGCCATGTTTCAGAAGCATTCTCTCCTGATGTTTTGCCCACATCTATGGCAGGCATCCTCAGAGGTTGTGAGGTCACCACAGTTTTATTTTTAACCATGCACACAATTCTCTCAATTTCTGTACAATATTTACATTGGCTCCACCTGTTTCTATCCAGGTATGTGGCCTTCTCTGCCAGGGCGCTTCCACACAGCCCTATATCCCAGGATATCAAGGCTGAAAATCCCACAATATCTGCTTTGAACTGGATGATCTGAGTCCACACTGAGATTATGTGGGATTTTCTTGATATTCTGGGGTATAGGGCTGTGTGGAAAGGCCCTCAGATAATCCAGTTCAAAGCGGATCTGGCCTTTAGCCCAGCTTCTGCCTGTTGGAATCCAACCTCACACTGCTCAAGTCTGCAGTCCTCAATGAGGAACAGTTTAGTTGGTTTAGAATAGTCTAGGGGGCCCTTCCACACAACCGTATATCCCAGAATATCAAGGCATAATATCTGCTTTGACCTGGAATAGTGCACACTCAGATAATGTGGGATTGTCTGCCTTGATATTCTGGGATATAGGGCTGTGTGGAAGGGCCCAAAGAGTCTAGTGGCCACCTCGTGGAACCGTCGACTCTCAAGATTCCAGAGCTACTGAAGCGATGTCAAAGTGGGTTAATTCGACAGTGTGGGCTCCCCCCGCCTTCCCCGTGGGTTTCCACTCACCGGAAATGGACGGCGCAGCCCCCGACGGCTGCTGGGCGAGGGTCTCTTCTCCTCCTCCCTTCCTGGCTGCCCAGGTGAGGCTGGCGAGGGCGATGGAGAGGGCGATGGAGAGAGAGGGCGATGGCGGGGGACCCGAGCGCAGGCACCGGCGGCGGAGGAGGAGGCGAGGGCTGGCCCCAGGGCTCCACCGCCCCTCCCTCAGCCCGGGTGCCAAGGCAGCTGGGACCCCCTCCCCTCCCCTTCCACGAGGGCCACCTGCCGCGACACCCGACACCCGGAACGCGGTGCTGCCTCAGCGGGGAAGAGAAGCCCCCTCGCCAGAGACTCACGCTCCTGGGCACAGGCTGCAGGCCGGACCCACTCCCGGACCCCGGGCTTTGAGGGTCCTCCCAGAAGCATCTTTCCAAACACAACCCCTTCCCACTTTTAGGACTTTTAGGGGGAGCCTACAGCCAGGCAGCATCTCTTCAATTACACTATAGCATAGGCCTGGGCCAACTTGGGCCTTCCTCCAGGTGTTTTGGACTTCAACTCCCATCATTCTTAACAGCCTCAGGCTCTTTCCTTTTCACCCTCAGCCGCTTAAGCATACTGTAGAGCAGACATGGGCCTACCCGGGCCTTTCTCCAGGTGTTTTGGACTTCAACTCCCAACATTCCTAACAGCGTCGACCAGGCCTGTAGCGAGGGGGGGGGGAGGGGGGTTAGGGGTTCAACCCCCCCCCCGAAATTTTTCAGGTTAAAAAAATAAACCTGGTTTACTCATGAATTTTAACTGGTTAACCAAATCCCCCTGCTAAGTCTATGAGACGCAAAAAATTAAGAGTCCCTCCAGAACTGCAAGCACTATCTCAAGCAAATATTGACAATTTATTCACACTGTCATTACTTGCAGCAATAGCCGATGTAGCAAAGCAACCAAGTTGGTGGGGGGGGGGGTGTTGAATGCTCTCATTAAGGAGGCCAGACTTGGTGGAGGTGGTTGACAGGGGCGGAGCTGCAGGCTATGGAAGGCTGCTCTGCCCCCCTGCTGTGCTATTTGCTTCAGCGTGACCTAGGAGGCAGGTTTCAACCCCCCCCCCAAATTTTCAACCCCCCTCCCCGAAATTTTCAACCCTCCCCAAAAAATTTTTCTGGCTACAGCCCTGCCGTCGACCCCCTTCCTTTTCCCCTCAGCGGCTTAAGCATACTGCAAAGTAGGCATGGTTAAATTTGGGCCCTCCAGGTGTTTTGGACTTCAACTCCCACCATTCCTAACAGCCTCAGGCCCTTCACTTTTTCCCCTCAGCTGCTTAAACTTTTGCTGCCAAATTCTGTGCTACTTCTAGGTGAGGAATTGTGGGTCCCAGTATCCTTTATCAGTTCTCATTCCTTTCCCATTAAACTACAAGTCTCTCGGCATAGACTCATAGGCTGAGAGACTCCAGAATTAGTAATTAAACACAAAAGATAAAGTTTCCAATTCTGGGGATTGGAGGAAAGTGGCATACAGAGAGCATACCAGCCCTCTGCTACGCCAGCTCCATTGGCTGCCAATCTGCTACCGAGCACAGTTCAAAGTGTTGGCTTTAGCCTGTAAAGCCCTGAATGGTTCTGGCCCAGCTTACCTGTATGAACATATCTCCTGCTATGAACCATCGCAAAGTCCAAGATCGTTGATCCCAACATCCTTGCAAACGTGACTGGTGGAGACGAGAGACAGGACCTTCTCAGTGCTGGCCCCTGCCTGTGGAACTCTCCACCCAGTGACATTAGATTGCCCCCCTCCCTCTTGTCCTTTAAAATGAAAACTGGTTATGGGACCAAGTATTCAAACAGTAGAGGCAGCAATTTATTATGGGACCCAATTTGTGTGAATGACAATGGACTGACCTAGACTATGATTTCAAACCTGCGTGATTTAAACAAAGTTTTAGTAATTTTAAAGTATTAATGAATTGTTTTAATTGCTTTTATCATTTATTACTCTTATTGGCATTGAATGAATGCCTTTTGTGAAGACACCCTGAGCCCCCCTCCGGGGGTGAGAAGGACAGTTTATAAATATACAAAATAAATAAATAGATAAATAATGTCTGCCATTGTATATTATACATGCAAATCCATTATCTCTGCAAGGAGAGTCCATACTTTATTGAATTTTGCTTCATGTAACTGATAATTACTGGATATTCCCATGGAAGGCCAAGTTGCTTCAGTACCTTGGATAACTCCTGTAAAGCTCAGACTGGAGGTTCTTTCACATTATATCGTTAGATCACTATGATTCCACTTTAACTGCCATGGGTGCATCCTATGGACACCCCTCTATTCTGCCTTGGTCAGGCCAAACCTGGAATCACACTGTGTCCAGTTCTGCAATTGAAAGGAGATGTTGACGAGTTGGAATGTGTCCAGAGGAGGGCCACTCAAATGATCAAGGGTCTGGAGAACAAGCCCTATGAGGAGCGACCTCAAGAGCTGGGCATGTTTAGCCTGCAGAAGAGAAGGCTGAGAGGAGACATGATGAGGTCCATGTATAAATATGTGAGGAGAAGTCATAGGGAAGAGGGAGCAGGCTTGTTTTCTGCTTCCCTGGAAACTAAGACATGGAACAATGGCTTCAAATTACAGGAAAGGAAATTCCACCTGAACATTAAGAAGAACTTCCTGACTGTGAGTTCAGCAGTGGAACTCTCTGTTTGAGAGTGTGGTGGAGGCTCCTTCTTTGGAGGCTTTTAAACAGAGGCTGGATGGCCATCTGTCAGGGGTGCTTTGAATGCAATTTTCCTGCTTCTTGGAAAAAAGGGGTTGGACTGGATGATCCATGAGGTCTCTTCCAACTCAATTATTCTATCCTTGGATGTGTAGTTTGCTGAGGCGCTAGAGCTTTGTGGCTAATAAATAGCAAACCCAGTGCCATTATGCCAAGAGAAATGGGATCAAACACAGGGTTACTGAGATTCAAGAAGGAAAGATTGGCATGTAGTTTGCAGAACTACAAGTGTGTCTTTTTAAAGCATAATACAATGGGAAGCATGCTGTCTTGAACACATGCTCAGTGATTCCTAGGAACCATTGGAATATTGACTGAAAAGAACAACTGAAATTGGGGCTTGGAGGATGAATATGTTGTCTTACTTGATCCCCTAATAGCCGAGTGTTTTGAAAAATTACTTCTTTGGACTTTTTACTCCAGGAATGGCCCAATTAGCCATGTCTACCTACTATGTTGGCTGATGTAGGTGGGAATCGCTCTCCAAAAAAGTAGCTTTTACATCAACTGCACAATCTTCAATTTTACCTCCCTAAGACCTCAAAGGTCTACCTTTTATTCCCAAATCAGAAGTGACTCACTGGAAGGTTTATTCTGATGTTGAAAAAGGCTATTTTGGACCAGTAAAAGGCCAAGGATACCCCTAAAATAGATCTTAAATAAATGGAGGGAGGAGGCAGGAGAAGTTGAAGGCCACTTTATTAGTCATCTGCAATATTCTGCATCTGGCATTATATCCTAGAAGAAGTCATGGTCCCCATCTACACTGACCATTTAATGCAATGTCAAACTGGCTTTGAAGAAAATGATTTCACTGTGCAGAGGATTACAGAGGAAATCCTGGAAGTGATTTGAGGCCCAGATGGCGATTACACAAACCACAGAGCATGGATGTGCATTAAGGACTTTCTTTTGTGCGCTTTTGAAGGAGTTTGTTCTTCAGTTGCTGCAGCTTGAAGCTAGATTTGAACTGCATTAAAGGATCAGTGTAGATGGGGCCATGGTCAGCTAGGACCTTGAACCTTATACATGTCTATATCTCCACTTGCAGACTTGGCACTGAAAAAAATGTTCTTTTTTCCCCTGACTGTTGGTTTTTACTTTTCAACTAGAAGACACAAGGGGCAGAAATCATCTCAGGAAAGCCTTCAATGTGAACAGAGCAGTCCTCTTGTCCCTGCAGAGCATTCATTGAAATATGGACCTTCTTCTCCTGCCAGACAGGAGTGACGGAGGTGGGCATCTTTGCCGGGTCCCCTTTGCCCTTTCCCAGTGGCTGCTGTCGGGCCACGGGGAGTGTTTCTTCGCACAACAGGTGTCACCTGTTGCCAGCCATCCAGGGCCCGCGCTGGATTTCACTGACGCGGCGGATCAGGTTCTGACCAGGGTATTTAAAGTCAAACATGCTCCCTGCCCTGCCCTCTACGATGGGCCCTGCCCCTTGGCACCACCCTCGGCCCACCTTCTTCTGAAGCCCAGCCAGCACTGCAGATGGAGGAAAAGGTCTCATAGAATCATAGTATCATAGCTTTGGAAGAGATCCTCAAGGGTCATCCAGTCCAACCCCATTCTGCCATTCAGGAATATCCCATCAAGGCACTCCTGACAGATGGCCATTCAGCCGCTGCTTGAAAACCTCAGGAGAAGGAGACTCCTCCACACTCCGAGGCCGCCTCTTCCACTACCAAACAGCTTATATCATCACAAAGTTCTTCCAAATGTTTAGGTGCCATTGCTCTTCAATTTGCAATTTGTGTGCCCAAGTGTATGCACGTTTGTGTGGGTACGATGAACATAATGGTTTGACCAAATGAGCAACACTGACCTCTCATGGATGTGGGTGCAAAAGACATCTGCCCCCCAAATTCAGCAGTAGCATAAATTTGTGCAATGGACTAAAAATGCATATTATTATTATTATTATTATTCCCCACCTCCATCTCCCTTAAGGGACTCGGGGAGGCTTACAAAGGGACAAGCCCAGGGAGCACAAAGTTAAAAACAACACAATATGATAGCATCAAAACAAAACCAAATAAAAGCATATCATATAAGACATGAAAGGTATACACTTGTGTCAATTCCTGCTTTTCTCTTAAAATTGACACAAAAAGAGGCCAAGTGCTTAGCAAAATGACTCTTTAAGACAACAGCCCTCATAATCCCCAGCCAACAAGTTAGCTGGGGATTCTGAGAATTGAGGTCCTCAGAAAAGTTCTCCTATGCATGACTTTGTATTTTAAAGAGAAAGGTTGGGACAGGGGCATACTCTTCATCCGCAATATAATGTGCTTGTGTTTTGTTCTGCACCCCAACATATAGGACTTGTGCATTTGTGTCCACCATTTAAACCACAGTGGCCAGTTCCTCTAAGGCTGAGGACATGTGTGCAGGACTTCCCCTTGCAGCATTTGTCAAGGTGGACAGTAAGGAATAGGGCCTCGTGATTCAGATCTAAAATGTCCTACTTATGCATGGTGAATACTTGTGCTTTTTCTTTGCCCTTGTCTGCCCCATGGCTGTGTCTCAGGTGAATGGTGCTGGATTCTCACTCCTTGGCTGTGAGATCAGACCAGGATTCCTTTGCTAGGAGCTCCAAAGGGTGCCTGGGCATGGGAGGAGGGGGATGAGCTCATAGGTCTTTCCCAGTCTCAGATTTCAGAGATTAATTCCAGGAGCAGCCGTGGGCCTGACGCTGCTGACAAAGATAGCACTTGTGCTCTGGGACAATGGAAATGAGGCACGTCCCAGAGAGACTACGAGACTTGTATTGAAGACTCCAAAGAAGCACAATGTCCTGGCTCCTAACCCTTAAAAGTTCCAGTATTTTACATACGGTAGATGCATGCTTTTTGACTTATGCTTTACCAAAAAAACAAAAAAACAAAAACAAAACCACCTAGTTATACTACTCATCATTATTCTGATCATTCTGGAGATCATTGCTTGCTACTGTGACTGCAATCTAGAAAGGTTACACACTCTTTATTGAAATGATGCTGTTACTGCTGTGCCATTGGAAAATGCAGGGAAAGGCTCTCTGGTTCCCGCAAGAGGTCATTTCAGATATTGCTTCTTGAAAATTCTGAGAAAAACTGCAAGAAGTACTTCAAAGTGATAGAATCATAGAATCAGAAGAGACCTCATGGGCCATCCAGTCTATCCCCCTGCCAAACTGGAAAATCGCATTCAAAGCACCCCCAACAGATGGCCATCCAGCCTGTTACAAGCCTCCAAAGAAGGGGCTTCCACCACTCTCAAGCGGAGAGTTACATTGCTGAAGAGCTCTCACAGTGAGGAAGTCCTTCCTAATGTTCAGACAAAATCTCCTTCCCTGCGTTCTAGTCTCCAGAGCAGCAAAAAAAATTTTTTTTTTAAAAAAAAGGCTGCTCCCTCCTTCCTCTGACTTCCCCTCACATATTTATACATGGCCCTCATCATGTCTCATCTCAGCCTTCTCTTCTGCAGGCTAAACATGCCCAGCTCTTGAGGCCACTTTTCATAGGGCTTGTTCTCCAGACCCTTGATCATTTTAGTCACCCTCCTCTGGACATATTGTTAACATCTCCCCTAAATTGCAGTGCCTAGAATTGGACACAGTATTCAAGGCATAGTCTAATGGAGGTTCTTGATGAAGGCCTTACTGAAATCCAGATATACTACATTCATGGTGTTCCCTGCATCTACCAAGCTTGTAACTCTATTGAAAAGAGAGATCACATCAGTCTGGCACGACTTGTTTTTGATAAATCCATGTTGACTATTACCGATGACAACATTCCTTTCTAAGCGTTCCTTAATGATCTTTTCCAGAATCTTGCCTGGTATCGACGTGAGGCTGACTGGATGGTAATTGTTTGGGTCATCCTTTTTCCCCTTCTTGAAGATAAGGACCACATTTGCCCTCCTCCAATATGCTGGAACTTGTCCCGTTCTCCAAGAACCCTCAAAGATGATTGCCAGTAGTTCCGAGATGACTTCTGCTGGTACATTCAATACTCTTGAATGTAGTTGATCTTGGATGTAGTTGTTACTTCTTATGTGGCATCTACCTATACAGCCCTTCCTTCTTCCATTCCCATTACTCAGACTGAGATAGTACATGTATTAAATAATAAACAGGCACACAATTGTTACCCTGTTCTTTTAAAAGTAGCAAAAAGTAATTCCATTGTATCTTGTTACTGCAAACTAGAGGCCAAAGCCACTCATTAGAAAACCGTCTTCCACACAGCTATATAACCCAGAATATCAAGTCAGATAATCCACAATATCTGCTTTGAATGGAATTATCTGAGTCCACACTGACATATAATCCAGTTCAATGTGGAAGGGTCCAAAGTTATTTCCTAGCTTACTTATGCTGCCTCACTTTTTCACACAGATACAAAGATCAACATAAAATATAAACATGTCCCAGATGTCGTGTAATGGAGACATCCCCAAATCCCAAAACATCCCAGTGATTTAAACATACACACACAAATACTGGCAGTGGTGTAGCCAAAATTTTGTCTCCCATTCATTTTTTTGTAACAATGTGTACTGGGAATGGTCTGTATTCACCAAGAAGTCTCCTTTGACATCAAAATATGTCTGATTTGACTATCATAATTAACTAGCTTTATTGCAGTGAAGAAAGGAATACATAGTTGCTACAAACAGCATGATGTGCGGTCAGGAAATGAACATGAACAGTTTGGAAGAGGTTGTAATCTCAAAGGAATTGTGAGGATGATCTTCAAGATGACCAGAACTAGCCAATAGACAGCAATGAACAGGAAATTATGATTGCAGCAGATGGGCTACTTTTAATGACCTTGGATATAGTTAAGGACTTAAAAATCTTCAGGACAATTTTTCATTTAGACAAATTATCACTGTTTCAGGTGTTTCTGACTCCTCTAAACCCAGCTTCAGGGTCTCCATACATAGTTAGGAATGATCAGGCAAGAATTCCCGGGGACCAAGAATCATTTTAAACACTTGCATGTCACTGACTGGGATCCAGCCCATATGCTGCCCTTTGGTTGGCTGGGAGGGACTCACGCTCCAGCTCCCAGAGAAAACGGCGCAGGCGAATAAGTTGGCGATGGAGGACATCATCGGACACAGGCTCCGAAAGACGCAAGCGGAAACCATCGCATGGAAGAATCAGTGGTGGATGATCTGTGAAGCTCTCAAATATGTCACCTTGGAGAGAACAGACATTTTAGAAAGGAGAGGTGTGGATAGGCAAGCCCACCTAAATGTGCCGCACCCTTCTCCCCACTCCTAGCTAGCTGCTCCCTGGTCAACTCCACCAAAACATAGCAAAGTCACCTTTTTGGAAGACAGCTTCCAGGAATCCTCTAACCAGTATGACAGCAGCTATCTTGTCAGGGAGGGGGGGATTCTGGGAGTGTGATTCAAAACAATATATACATATATTTATAAACTCTGGCTATACCTTTATCTATAGCTTTGGTTAATGCTTTTGGGAGGTGACTGTGGGAGAAGAGAATCTCTTTAAACATTCAACTACATCTGTAACCCAGTCTTGGGAGAGGAATTTGGGAAACAAGAGAGTGACTCAGGTTGAAGTAGGAAGGGCGAGTTTCCAAGCATGGATATATGGAGTGGTGCAGAGGAAAGCTTCACCTTGTACCCACTAAGTGGCTGTTGAAGGCCACAGAAACCCTGGGAGAAGTACGTGCCAAAAGGTGGCAAGTAAGTAGAAGTAGTGGCTGGAGAATACTGTGTGTTGGGAATAAAATGGCATTTACTTACTGTGTGCAATCTCTTCTCTTTCCTGTTCTGGGGTTTGCCAGGAGTCAGGGGGCACTCGGCCCGGTCCCAACTGGTAATTCCGAAGTACATGCTGGAGCTGGGCTGGAGTTAGAGCTGGATAATCATCTCTCAGTCGAGACCAGGTTGTCTGTGTATGGGCAGAAGACAGCCAACAAGTCTAGTGGTTAGGTTATAGGAGACTCAATTTCAATTGAGCATTTTAGAAGGAACTTCTTGACAGAGAGTTTCAGCAGTGGAATCAACTATCTAAACAGGAGATGGGCCTTTCGTCTCTGAACATCTTCGAAAAGAGTCTGTACAAATACTTTCTGGGGATGATTTAACTGGAGATTCTGCACCAAGTACACATTTGGACTCAGTGGCCCATATTTATTATTTACAGTATTTATATACTGCTTTTCTCACTCCTAGGGTGAGAATTTTTTCATTCTAAGATTCTATGACATTATAAGAAAGGTTTTGCCAAATTCATCACAAAGATGTGCCTTCTCAGCCATTCTGAGGTTTTTATTCAATTAATTTAACCCAGTGGTTCCCAACCTTTTTTTGACCAGGGACCACTTTGACCAGGGACAATTTCCAACATTAGTAACAAAAGGGTTACAAATCAGTTGTTGGTCAACTTTAGATTTGGTTTGGTTATTTGCGGTGCTGATTCAGAAAACTGCATTGGATAGACTACATCAGCTCTAGTTTCTGATACAGAACATATGCCATCCATTAGTTGCCATCTGCTTATTGAAAACCATATTCAATAAGCTTTGGCACTATAAGAGAGTTTTGTGTGACCAGTTGCTCTTGTTACAATGGTGTAGTAATGGTGAGGCCACAGACTATATTTTAGCTCTTGCTGACCACTGGTGGTCCATAGACCACAGGTTGGGAACCACTGATTTAATCACTGAATTGACAGAAGACTGCAGCCTCAGTTACAAGCACAGAGCAGGTACCCAATCTGCTGCAAGGCATAACCATTTACCCTATAGGCCTCACTTTCCAGCACCCGCCTAGTCAAACACCAGGCCATGATGTGTTCTGAGCATTATGTGTAGAAAGCTGATTGCAGAAGAAATGAATTGATGTGGGTCCTTATAAACCCTATTGTGTACCAGGAAAAATGGAATTCTGTCATGTCTTTGATTTATGAAAATTAGGATGTTTGAATATTTTTGATTTGCATAACAACATGCTGTGCAAAGAAAGACTCGCACACACTTTGAGAGGAAAGGGAGAGTGGAAAAAACACTTCCCTGCCCTGTCTCTTCAGGCAGCTGTTCACAGATGAAAGGTGACCCTTAGTCTGAGCACGTAAATTTTCCAAGCTTGACTTCAAAGATGGAGGAACTGCGCCTGGTGCCTCAGAGCTGAGGTGCAGTCTCGTCCTTCAAGGCCTGAAGATGGGTTTTACCTGAAGCAAGCCGGTTTTGGGGACACAGAGCAGGTTGGCTGTTGTGCTGAGCTTGCGGAAAAATTCAGCAGCAATGTCCCCAAGGCCCACCCCTTGCAGCCAGTCCAGCACCAGGTCGAGGTTGGTTCGGATCTGCACCGCCTTGGCCCACAGGAACAGGCCCTGAGAACCACCTGGGAAGAGGAAAAGGCAAGTTGAGAACAGTCCAGTGGGGGTACCTCTTAATCCCAACTCTTTGCTCATTCCTGTGGTCCTTCCCCACCCTCACCCACTCTGCAACTGTGGAATGAATGTGGGAACCGCCCAAGTCAGGCCAGCCTCCTAATTTCCTGTCCTGCTTGGGGGCAGCCCTGAACTCTAGGACAGGCAGGAAACAGCCTGCTTCCCCCAGAGCCTATGGCAGAAAATAGGAGGAAACAGGGGGAGGGGAAGAAGACTGAAGGCAGATTTGTTCTTTTCACTGGTTAGGAGCAAAGAACAGAGCCTGAGTGAGATCTTGTTCTCTTTCAAGTCTCTCTGGGTCTTTTGGTGAGTCAGCTGGGGAGAAGGTCTTGTTCCAGTTTTTAATGAGAACACAATGACTGTATTAGTCTGGAATAGCCAGAGGCTGGAACAGGTATTTTTCTGGACCACAACACTCAGAATCCCCCAGCCAGCACGGCAGGTTTTTGTCCCCAGAAGGATCTTAAAAATGCTTTCCCAGAAGAGTGCTTTTCTCCTGCTTTTCATTTTACATCAGCAACAAAATTAACCTCAAGATAAGATTTTAGTCCCACACAGGGGTTGGAAATACGGCAATGCTGTTGGAGAGTTGCATTCCAAAAATTAAAATGTCCAGTCTCAGGATAAAAACACTCTCAGTTATAGTGCATTTAACACCATTCACATAGAGATCTTAGGGCCCTTCCAGACAGGCCCTATATCCCAGGATCTGATCCCAGATTTTCTGTTTATCCCAGATTATATGGCAGTGTGGACTCATATAATCCAGTTTAAAGCAAAAAAATTCCTGGAATATAGGGCCTGTTTGCAAGGGCCCCCAGAGACCATGATCCTGGCTCCCTCCTGTTCTCCCCCACAATAATTTGATTCCCCTTTCCACATAAATCCAGAACAAAACTCAAACAGCCTGTTCCTACAGACCCAAACCCTACACCAATCGGTTCTGCTTCCTGCAACCCCTTTGCTGCTGCAGCCCTCTCCTTTGTATGATTCCCAGCTGTCCAAAAAGGGTAATCCTTCAAATAACTCTACCATTGCTATCCTGAATGCCTTAAAATGTCTCCCCAAATATCTGGGATGCCACCACTCTGACTTTCAGTATATTTGTTACTGAGGTTCTGAGTCCAAATCCAGAACTCCTGGGGTCCAAATCCAGATCCTCGAAGGTTTCATGATTATTATTCCCGTTTCCCCATCATTGCGTGGCTTTCCAGTTTTTCAATGTATTTTCCACCTATTTTAACAGCTTAATGTGCTTCTGACATGGCTTTATAGCTGACAATAGCTTTCTTCTAAGTCTAAATAAAGATAAAGGTAAAGGTTCCCCCTGACACTAAGTCTAGTCGTGTCCGACTCTGGGGGGTGAAGCTCATCCCCATTTCAAAGCCGAAGAGCCAGTGTTGTCTGTAGACACCTCTTAGGTCATAGGGCCAGCATGACTGCATGGAGCACCATTACCTTCCCACAGAAGCGGTACCTATTGATCTCACATTTGCATGTTTTCGAACTGCTAGGCCTAATAGTGGGAGCTCACCTCGCTCCACAGATTCGAACCGCCAACCTTTTGGTCAGCAAATCCAGCAGCTCAGCAGTTTAAACCACTGCGCCAGCAGGAGGCCCTTTCTAAATCTAAGGTATGCTAGTATTTCCTTGTTCCTTTGAATCCTGTACACCACTAGAATGCTTCTCCAAAACTGAATTTGGACTTCAGGTTACAAGATGTTTCATACACATGCTTTTTAAAATGAAGATTTTCATCTCCTCACCCCAGTAAAATGCACATGTAGAAAAAAAAATGACTAGATGCTCCCCCCCCCCCCCCCCCCCGTTTACTCTCATCTCTATTCCCTTTCCTTACACTGTTTCTTCTCTGCAGAATATTGCACTGTAAGCTAATAGGAGAGGGTCCTTCTGGACATTGTAACGCACAGTGCAGTAAAATGGCACTATGTAAAATAGCAGGAAAAATAGGAACATTCTCTTTCCATGATTTTTTAAAATGAAAGAGTCTTTTGATCAGTTCTTCCCACTCCTCCCAATCACCCCAAGATATTGGTGTTTATTGTGAATCCCACCTCTCTCCATGAGGGTGTTAAAGAGTGAGGCATTGGAGAAGAAGAAAAGGTATCCAAAGGTCTGCGAGACGAGGTCAGGGTGCAGGTCACAGTCCCGGGTCAACTCAAGGGTGGCCTGGTATATGGCAAGAGTCCCACGGATCCCCTCAGGCATGCTGCTGATCTCAGGCACATGGGACAGGTCAGCTGTAGCTGTGAAGGGGTTGCTGTCTATCAAGGCAGGAAGGGCTGAGTAGAGGGTCTGTCAAGGGAAGAATGGTTTAGAAACACAGGCCAGTGCGGGCAGAGTAGAAGTCTAAGTTTGTCTTGGGATACGCTCACTCACCTTAGTGAGGTAGTATACGGACTGCTGGAATGTGGACATGATGACTTCATCCAAGACTGCCATTGCCTCATCACAGGTCTCCAAGTCACTGGAGAGCAATGCACTGTGGGAAACTCCTACAGAGATGAAAGAGTCTGAGGACATCAATATAATTGAAGTAGGCAAGTTGGTATCAAAGGGCCCTGGAATATATGGCAGTGGGGACTCAGATAATCCAGTTCAAAGCAGATGTTGTGGGATTTTCTGTCTTGATATTCTGGGTTTTATGGCTGTGTGGAAGGCCCCACAGTTTCCTGGAAACTCCTGTTGTTAGACTGCAGTTGTTAACATCTCATCCTCACTGTTGGCAAGATCTGCTAGGAACTGCAGAACCTGGAGGACTACACTTTGCTCTTCCACAATTTAATTGATGCCTCTTTGGGGTGGTGGAATCTCATTCTCTGGAAGTTTTTAAGCAGAGCTAGATGGCCATCTGTCAGGGGTGCTTTGATTGTGTTTTCCTGCATGTCAGGGGATTGGACAGGGTCGTCCTTGTGGTCTCTTCCAACCCTGTGATTCCATTATTTTTCCTTACTCAGGAATCTGATCCCTCCATTTTCTGCCCTTACAATCCTCAGGAAGCTTCATTGACTATTATTATTGCTATGATGGGATATTGCCCCTGCTCTTCTTCTGCCCCCCAACTCTGTCCTTAGCCTAGTGAACAGGACCCATGGCTTACCCTCCAAGTCCAGATCTTTCTCGATGTCCAGGACTCTCTTTTGCACCAAATTGAGCAATTCCATTGAGTTGGCCATCCATAGCATAAGGGGGCGCAAGTCAGCAGCCACCTCCTCGACACTGAGATTCCTTGACTCTCCTTTGTCCTGCTGGCTGCAAGGATGATCAGACAGAGAGCAAGGGAGATTAGCTGAGTGACAGGGGCTGCTCTCACCTGCCACCAAGAGACAGCTGGCTCTCAGTCAAACAACAACTGGGCAGCATATTTCAAATTCAAACCATTCCACAAATTTTCAGAGTTCACACCAAGTTCAGAGTTTCTCTGCATTTGTGAACTTTGTTTCCAAAGGGCAAAAACACATGGCTTCCCACTTTTGTCACTTGTGTGTCTGCAGCTGGCCTTCCCCATCAGCAGTGATGCTACTGAGAGAACATCACAGTTAGGCCTTGGACATTTTTACAGGCCTTTCAGGACTGTTTCAAGGTAAGATTGTTACCCTTTTCTGTAACTAGTTCAATTGCTAGTTTCAATAAGAACAAACATTCAATCACTTGCCGAGTGGTAAGTCAACACTTACATAAATTCAGTACCTTCCTACATTACACAGATGGAAATAGTCTACATATGGCCAAGCAATATCAGACTGTGGTTCTGATGGCAAATGTTATCAGTGAGCGAGAACACAAAAACTAAGAGGAGCTGCAACATATTGCTTTTGCCTGAGTATACTGGGAAGAACAAGAACCCCCCTTTCCTCTCCCTTCTCCTGAGAGAACTGATTGTAAATTGCTTCTCCATATTATTATTTTTTAACCACACCAAAAAAGCCATTCTTCTATCATTCCTAGTATATTAGGCCTTACGTACGTTTCCGATTGTCGATCTCCAATCTCTTTGATCTTCTCCTGGAAAGAAGAATATGAAAAAATAAAATGTAAATAATTATATTGAACCAGAAAGTAACACACTGTAGCTTCACGTCTCTTCCATACCTGAAAACCATGGAAAGAAAAATCTAGTATTCCAGAGTTTTGGCCAGACTACAGAATCTGAGATTTGTAGTTCCAAAAAACAAACTTTTGAATAGCCTTTATCTTCTAAAAAATTTAGATCCTGACGTCATACTCTTGGGTTTATGGTACACACAGTCTCAAAGAGAGAGTGTCTAATTCTGCTTTGTTGTAGAGGTAGAAATGTCAGAAATATTAAAAATTAACCAGGTATTTTTAATTACAAAAATGTGAGTCGAGCACTAAAAGGGTTAAATGGATACAATGACTCAGAGAAAGCTGCAGGTCGATATAAGCAGGTGTACTTGTAGCTTAAAAGCCCTCTGACTGTGAGAGGGTTCTGTGGAAGAAGGGCTTCAGTGTGTTAGTAGCCTCAGTATGAGTAGGCCTTAGTGTTAGTTCAACTCTCAGTCTGAGAGAACCCTCAGTGTGAGAAGTCCTCTGTGGGAGAAAGGTCTCAGTGTGAGGTAGGCTTCAGTGTTAGTAGGTCTCAGTATGAGTAGGACTGGTGTGAGACACTTTGGTGAGAGGAGCCCCAACTTGAAGGCCATCGTCTGTGAAGTCTGCTATGTGTAAAGGTACTGTATGAAGCTCCTGTGTAAGTTTGGTGTGAGAAGAGACTGTGAGAGCAAAGTTATTTATCTGCATGAAACAGAAGCCCAGTGTGGAAGCAAAGAAGAAGTATAAGGAACTTTGTTCATGTTATGAAAACCTTGTTCTTGTAAATAGTACAACCATATTATTTTGCTATAAAGAAAAGCCTCCAATGAAGAGATAACATTGGTCTGTGTGTTTTTGTTCTTTTGATCACTTTGGGCTGCTGGTGCTGGTCCACACTGCTGTTGATAAGTTACTCTGTTACACATTTATGGGGGGGAGGGGCTTTTGTTAATAAGCCCACTCGCCCAACATGAACTGCAAGCAGTTCACAAAGACTAAAAATCTGGTTCTTTTAATATATATATATATATATATATACACACACACACACACACACACACACACACATACACACACACTTTGATTAACCATAATCAGTAAAGTTATAGTACATTTTATAAAGGAAATGAAATATAATTCCACCCACAATTCTATATCACATAAGCCTACATTGTTCAATCAGAAGATTAGACATATCTTCTTTCGTTTGTATTCTTCTGTTCTGATATATTTTTTAAAGACATAACTGAAAGCATGAGGGGAGGAACAAGAGCACTGTTTTGCCCACAATCATAAAGTTTAGTGTCTTGTATTTATTTTTTAAAAAGACAGCACAAATGTCATTGTCAAATATCAAATTTATATCATGGACATGCATGCAGACTTTAATAGAGTGCATCGTAAGGGAATGTGGAGAGTAAGAGTTGTCCTAAAAGAAGGGAATGGTTCTGAATTGTTCTGAATCGGTATAAACATTATTTACCCAAACAGCCTCTTTGACCAGCTGAGCAATCCTGGCTATCAATCTGGGGAGATGTCCTGGTTCTAGTTCCCTGGCAGCATGCTCCAGACACAGCCCAAAGAGAAAAGCAGGGCCCAGCTTGCATCCAGGAGTCTCCTGAAGCCTCACAATTTCAGCCAAGAGAGCCTCCTGCTCTTGGGGCCGATAGCGCAGTTGAGGTTCTCGGCTCTTCAGATAGGCCCGAAACGCCTCTTGCCGTTCCTGCAGGGAACGGCCACAAGCCTGGCATGCCAAGGCCCCTACCAACCCTGGGGACACCCACGCTTTGGGCAACCAGGCAGGTGGCGCGGCTGCAGCCCGTGGGTCCTTATACATGAAGAGGAAGTGCTGCCCCATCCCTAGCAAGTCTCCAGGGGCCAGCTCCACCTGGCGATGGAGTGGGGCACCATTGTGTGTGATGGATGCTCCACGGAAAGGCCGCACCATGGCAGAACCCCGGGGCTGGCTGGGATCTGCGGGGGGCACCGAAGACACCACGCAGCAATGGCGTGGCAGAATGTCTGGGGCACTCAGGAATGTGTCCACATAGTTGGATTGGTCTGAGGCCTGGCGGCGTTCAGGACGTCCAAATATGTGTCGCCGACGTGTCATCACATGGATCACAAACTCCTGTGAAGAGAGGAAGGAGAGATTTGAAGGAGGCAGAGAAGAAATGGTAAGCAATTGTGACAAGAAGTGTAAATATTAAATAATCTCTTCAGTGCATATGAGGACAAATAATATGTAGTTTTCTCCCCATTTTGTGTGTGTGTTTGTGATGGGAATACAGTATTTCTTTATAGCTCTCAGTCAGTATTTGCATGTCTTGAACTGTTTGTCAAGACCAGGTTTTTCTGTGTGTATGGAAAATGTTTGGGTATTTCACAAATAATAATAATATTGCACGCATAGAAAAATGTGGGCTTCTGGAAAGTGGTTTTCACATTAAAATGTCCTTCCAATGTACATTTTTACACAGATTTACTTGTCTAAACACAGCATGGTAAGGAAGAAATAAGATATTCTGTGGTGTGGACCCTCTTTGAGGAGGCTCAGATTGAAAGCCATAAACAGTTTGGGACGTTGATACTTGAAGGACTGCTTCTCTCTATATAAGACTGAGATCAATTGGAGATCTGTGTCCCACTAGTGACAATACATTATATGGTGATGTGAGTGTGGACTTTTTCTGCTATGGCCCCCGATTTATGGAGTTCCCTCCCCTTGGAGGTCCACTTGGTGCAAACTGTCTTCTTTTAGGGACCAAGTTAAAATACAGCTTTTTGCTAACACCTGTGTAGTCTAATTTCTTTCCATTTTGATGTACATGTATATGATTTTGTTTTATTTTATTATACTTTTGCTTTTAAAAACTGTTTTGACTCATCTATATGATGTACCTTTGTCCTATTTATTTTATGTTTTTATTTTGATTGCTTTTTTGCATTGCCTCAGTTGAATGCTATTTTGAGATCTCACAGCAAAGGGAAGTACATAAATATTTCAAATTAAAATATAAATATTGTTACAGTGAACTGGCACAAGACTGAAACAGGAAAAAACTTGCCTGCTTTTCATTGTAGCCCAACAACTGTAAAAAATAAGGGTGTTCTGTTGGTGGCTGAATGAGGCACTGGGTGAGCTGCTCTAAACTGGTCACATCCACGGCCTCTTCTTCGGAGGCTGGAGGAGCTGATGTGCCATCCGCGGCTACTTTGAGCCGTGACTCCTCAGAGGGACTCCCTTCTGCGGGTTCTCCTATGGCCATGCTGAGCACACCTTTGCGGTCCTTGCGGCGTTTTATGCTGAGGTTCATCTCACTGATGCTGCGACGGAGGGAGAGGTTGTCTGCCCTCTCTTTGGGGGCTGCATGGCCTCCTGAAGCTGCCCGAGAGCGGCGGGATTGTTGCCGACGATTCTGGGAATTGCCACCTTTGGGAGATGGAGAGGAATAGAGAAGGAAAGTATTTAAATATAAGGTGAACTAGAGAAGAAACAGAAATTTTCATGTTAAAAAGTTATCTCAACCCTGTGTGATCATCAAATTCAGGTCATGGGAAAGGTTATACAATATTACGTAACGGCCATGGAAAGGCAGAGATGAAGGGACATATAGTGTTTGGTACAAATGGCGGTCAGCTGTGACCAGCAGAGCTGTAGAATTTGAAGAGGCATGAATGGAGGGCGAAAGAGAGAAACATGCCAAGAGGAAAGTGTGTCAAGCCAACCCCAACCGGGACCGCCTTCCATCTGGAAACCAATGCCCTCACTGTGGGAGAAGATGCAAATTAAGAATAGGGCTCTACAGTCACCTACGGACCCACTGCCAGGACACTACACTTGGAGGACCATCATCCTCGGACTACGAAGGATCGCCTAAGAAGATGAAGGTACAAGTGGATGGCTCCCAGAACTTACATAGGGAAAACTGCAATCCAAAACAATTTTCACCAGCTCTGTACTATAGAACAGTCACAGGATACTTTTGTGTTTGCATTTCTCAACCTTTGGGTCCCCGGGTGTTTTGGCCTACTACTCCCAGAAATCATAACCAGTTTATCAGCTATTCTGGGAATTGAAGGCCAAAACATCTGGGGACCCACAGGTTGAGAATCACTGCATTAGATCAAGGTAAGAATAATTCAGTTGCATTGTGCAAATGATAACAGGCAAAAGCTCATCATTCTCTCTCCATCCATGATCTTCTGAGACACCACATGGAAGTGATTAGTGTTCCCTAGTCTAGGGTAAGGAGAATAACAAGACTAATGTTTTTGTCCTTGGAGTACACCCCCCTTGTTCAAAGGTCGGTCTATCACCCCGTCTCTCTATGAGTTCTTACAAATAATTCTGCTCCTTTATCTCACCCTGAGTTTTTAAATCATTTTATGTACATGCGGCCCGCTCACTGTCATTATGTTTGGTTTACTGCTCTTTTTTGTATTTTGTTTATTTTAGTCATATGTTATGTATTTTACTGTGATGTTGTTTATTTTATTGTCACTTGTATCTTATTTTATTGTAATTTGTTGTTTTGGCTTGGCCTCATGTAAGCCGCCCCAAGTCCCCGTTGGGGAGATGGTGGCGGGGTATAAATAAAGATTATTATTATTATTATTATTATTATTATTATTATTATTATTCTAACAGATGCCCTCCATCCCCTCCTAAAAGTCCTTGAGACTATTCTGCAAGAAATTCTCATAGTCTCCAATTAATGGAGCTTCCTTTTCTCGCTTCACATACTCCTCCCTTTTCCAGGTCCTTGGCTGAAATGCCCAGTGGGAAAACTTCAACTGGAGCTTCGGCTTTGTGCATTATATCAGTAGGTGAGGGCATGGCTCAATGTTGGGATGTAATCGTGCTGGCATCCTGACATCATTGAATTGCCCAGAGCTAGGGCTTGGGGAAGTCTATCCACCTGTTGGCTAGATATCCACACACCTGCCCTATTGCTTGTCTGCAGCTTTTGGTATATCACCATATGCACCTCTGACTATTTAATATTCAATTTCATAGCTTTCATGTGGAATTGCCACTGAAAGACCCATTTATTTATTTATTTATTTATTGTATTTATACCCTGCCCTTCTCAACCCCGTAAGGGACTCAAGGCGGCTTATATATTACCTATATAACAATTAGATGCCAAAAAACAACCATAATAAAAGCATATGCATTAAATAATTTCTCCAAGTTAGTTATGCATTGGGCATGGAAAGACTTCAATTCTTGGTAACTCTTCCTCACTACCATAAAGACAAGAAGACTATCCTTCATTTTCTTCCCACTGTTCATGGAAGCAAAGCACCGGAAGATTTTTGGTATCTTTACAGTGGAACACCAGAACAGAATTTGGAAATTTCATTTTGAGACTATAGCTCCTAGCCATGCTGTCTTGGGGATTCTAGGAGTTGTGGTTGTAAAAAGTAACCTTTCTAAGTTCTGGACAAGATCTATCACGGGGTGGGGGGAAAGTCCCATTTGGGATATCTCAAGCACAACATACCTGCATCGTCATCCTCGCCTTCTATCATTCTCTCCACATCACATCGCCGCCGGATTTCAAAACGACGGGTGCAACCAGTCTTGGGTTTCCACACATCCTGCAGTACGAGGGGCCGTTCGGAGTCACCCACTGCTCGGAGGTGCTGGGCCTGCCAGGTGCCGTCTGTGCTATGAACACTGCCGACAACATCACACAACACGTAGGCATCTTCAGCATTGGCCTGTGCCACACCATAGCGCTCCAGTGCCTCTCTCACCAGCTGGCGAGCGGTGGAGCGCACAGTGGCCAAGACACTCTTGTAATTGGCACCTGAGGAGATGTCTCCACCATAGATCTTCAGGATTCCTGGCACTTCTCCTTGGGATGGGGGCTCGACTCGGTCTTCAGGCAAAGGATCAATGAGGTCAGCCAGTTTCTTCTCACTGGCCCAGCGGCCTGCAGTTCCACTGGTTGGGCCTCCTGTTCCTCCTCTCTGGAAGAGTGTTGACAGCCTCTTATGTCGACTGGCCTTATTCTTGGTGGCTGGCCGCATCTCCACGGATTCACTGCCACGGCTGGCTGTATCTGAGGATGTTGACCTGTGAAGAAGACAGAAATGCTAGAAGAAGTAGGCTTGGTTGTTGTGAGTTTTCCAGCTGTGTGGCCATGTTCCAGAAGTATTCTCTCCTGACGTTTCACCCACATCTATGATAAGCATCTTCAGAGGTTGTGAGACTTCACAACCAGGTCATTAAAGCCTTTGACAGCACAGAAGTAGGCTTGATTTCAAACCAAAACTACAGTGCACCAATCAGAGTTCTATAAATGTGAAATTAACCATTCTCTGAAATATGTAAATAAGTTTAGAGAAATAAATCATAAATCTGTACAAAAAGGTCCCAATTTGACAAGAAAAGCTCCAATTTATTATGCTTGTCCTTTTTCTCACCCCCTTTTAAAAATGTCCTAGCTTTTCTCTGTCCCTTCAACTTTTCATCTTTGTTGCAAACTTACTTTAACTGAGTTCAAAGTGTAAAAATAGTTTGCATGCAGGAGCAGAGGAAAGGGTGGAATCATGGCCTTCCCAATAGACTCGGTCAACAGCAAATGGCTGGAGCTTCTCTTTGCTTGTGTGTTTCCTTATTAATAACTTTGGCTATCTTGACTACATTCTGATATTGCTTGGCCACATTATGTCCTGGTTGCCATCTGTGAAATGTTAAAAGCTTCAGCAATGAAGAAATAACTGAAATTCCCATCAAAGAGAAGAGAACCCAGGACGTATGTATTAAGGATGATAAAAATTAACAAGGACATTTAGTTCAAAAATATAAGTTTATCAAAAACTGAAAACAAGGCTTGACATGAAGCTAGTTGCTTGGGCTTCCAGGCGAAGAGCAGCACTTACTTGACCGACCCCACGCTTGGCCACCTGCGTCCCAGCTTGGCAAAATGTTTCTTTGGGGAGTTGATCCAAAGGCCAACAGGAAAGTGAAGCTTCCCAAAGCGGGGGCTCCCGTCCTTCCGCTCATCTGAAAACATGGCCACAGGGACCTAGAACCTTTGAGAGGAAAAGTGAAAGAGAGAACACAAAAGGTCAATTCTTAATAGATACTGATTCCAGGAATATCTGGGCTTCCATCCTCCATTCCATATACAGAAACTGTCAGTGGAATGGAGGGGTGCCATCTTGGGTAGCAAAGGAAAGAGTCTCAACTGCTTAAGGCCCATGTTAATATATCCTTCACACTCTTATTTTGCTCAAGGTCCTTTCAAAATGTAGTTTATTACCTATAAAGCTCTATAGCTTCGCGTTCAACCTATCTTTGAGACTGCATCTCTTTCTATGAGCCAGCACGGACACTAAGTTTTATCAGGGAGGCCTTACTCTCAGTCCACCCCCGTCTCAAGTACAGTTGGTGGAGACGAGATAGAGGGCCTTCTTGGTGGTGGCCCCTCGGCTTTGGAATGCCCTCTCAAGGGAGATCAGACTAGCCCCCACTCTCCAAGCCTTCTGTACACAATTGAAGATATAGATTTTTGACCACATGAATATACACACTTTACAAGACTGAGACTGATCACTTCTTCTTCTTCTTCTTCTTCTTCTTATTATTCCTTGTATTCAAATCCCACCGATTTCCTAGAGAACCAAACTATCCCTTATCCCTTGTATGTATTCTGGTCAAAAGTAAAGCATTCCTGCATTATGGACTTAAAAGTGAGATCAAAGCTAAATGTCTGCTCTGGCCACGAGGGGGTGAGTCAGAATCTCTGAGTCAAACCATGACGTCAACAGGAAAAAGATGAGATAAGAGTCAGGATAGCTGGAGCCTCACCTCAGAGAGGCACCCCTTCAATTGCTTGGTTCTTAAAGATGGAACATGATCAACACGGTTGGATCTTTGTGTTCTTACTGATTAACATACTTGTGATCCAAAATTGGGAAATCAAATGTTCACTGCCCATCACTGTCTATGAGAAGAAGAACCTAGTGGTTTAGCCATTCATGACACTTATTGTATGAGTGTCAACTCCAGGTCAATGTATTTTTGCCCACATGGTTAATTCATATTAACATACTAGGCCTAGTCAACATTCATATTCTATGCATTTATAGCCCCACCCTCTTCTCTTCCTGCTCCCCCCCCCCCATCCCCTTGTTTTGCATTTAGATTTTAAAATTAATATTAATAATGCAATACAACGTTATCCTACACAGGTGGTAAACCAACTATCTTCAGTATACTGCTTTGTAATGGTATGACCCCAAGCTACCCACTGAAGCAGAAATTCTTGCTTTGCCTTACATTGAGCTCAGAGTCAATTAGAAATTTATGTTTCCCTCCAAAAGGGTTTTGGTGTCTGTTCCTCCCATTCTACCAGCTTTCTGGTCCTTCTAGAATAGTTCTTTGAGGTGGTAGCACAGAATAGGAAGAGAAGGCAGGAAGGAATAAGCTTTCGATTCTGTGGAATGGGATCTAATGAATCTGCACACAGACAAGCAAAGAGCTAGGATTGCTGGATTTATAATAGGAAGCAAAAGACAAGATGAGAAGGATGGCTTAGACCAGATCTCCTTGAGTTGCCTTTGAGATGTGGGGAAGAGGGGTGAAAATACACACATATCCATGCCCATTTTGCCACCTGTTCGATGTCCATTCCCAGTTTTGAATTCTGCGTATCAATCTACAGGATTATTGGTACATGCATACAGCTATAGAGTTAGCATTGTTACCTGCTCCAAAGGGAGTCCTAGCTGGTGCAGTCTCCAGATGTTACTCTCTCTCATGCATCCTACAGCCAGCCAGGCTCCATCTTCTTCTTCTTTAGGATACGGTGGCCAGTCTCTGCTAGGGCGTTCTTGTGTGCGCTGTGTGACTTAAGTCCGGCGATGACTGCGCACGGATTTCCTCTGGTCATTCACACACAGGAGGTGGGGCAGGAAAAGGAGATGKGGGGAGCAGGAAACTGGCTGGGAAGCAGGGCCTCTCCCAAGAACTGRGGGRGGGAATGGGACAGAAWGGCAAAGACATCTGAACTAATAGATGCAGGGCCAGGAAATCCCTGGCAGTAAAACTGAGATGGGGAAGGGGTGGATTTAAACAATTAGAAGTTGGTTCCTTKACACTTCATACTACAGTTGCCAAATACTTAGRCGTACAGACACAATAATTTGGCTGGCCTTGGAGGAACCATGGGAAAGACCTGCCTGGAYTGACTCATCTTTCTGCTGTTGCCAACATTTGCCCTCAAAAAAACTTGCCAACATTCTTGCTACTCTAGCAGAAGCTAGGTAATGGTGTTAACAAGCAGGTTCAGCATTCTTAACTTCTTATGCTAAAAACATTTATTTACTTATTTATTTATTTATTTATTTTTATTTAAAGCATTTATATTCTGCCCTTCTCACCCCAAAGGGGACTCAGGCCAGAGCACAACATATATACGGCAAACATTCAATGCCGGAACATAAAATAAACTATAAATATACATAAACACTAAAATCAGTTATCTCCACTTTAAAATCAATTGTTTAAAACCATCTCAGATCTTCCATACCGAATCTGGTCAGCAGGGTAAAATTTGCTATTCCTGCCTTATTGCACTGTCCCAAAGGCTTGGTCCCACAGCCAAGTTTTTACCATCTTTCTGAAGGACAGGAGGGAGGGGGCTGATCTAATCTTACTAGGGAGGGAGTTCCATAGCCGAGGGGTGATCACTGAGAAGGCCCTCTCCATCATCCCTGCCAATTGCGCCTGTGATGGTGGCAGGACTGAGAGTAGGGCCTCCCCAGAAGATCTTAATCTCTGCGGTGGTTCATAGAGGGAGATGCATTCAGATGGGTAGATTGGGCATGGACCATTTAGGGCTTCATAGACCATGGCCAGCACTTTGCATTGTGCTTGATAGCAAACTGGCAACCAGTGGACCTGACACAACATGGGAGTTGTGTGCTCCCTGTATGCCACCCCAGTTATTAACCTGGCTGCCTATCGTTGGAGTATTTTAAGCTTCCAAACAGTCTTCAAAGGCAACCCCACACAGAACATGTTTCAATAGTCTATCCTAGAGGTAACAAGAGTGTGGACTACTGTGGCCAAGTCTGACTTCCCAAGGTACGGGCGCAACTGGCATACAAGTTTTAATTATTCCGGGACTGTGGCGCAGCTGCATTAAGCTCACTATTGACCAAAAGGTCATGAGTTTGAAACCAGCCCGGGTCAGAGTGAGCTTCCGACCAATTTTGTGTAGCTTGCTGTTGACCTTTGCAGCCCGAAAGATAGTTGCATCTGTAAAGTAGCAAATTTAGGTACCGCTTATGCAGGGAGGCAAATTTAACTAATTTACGAGGCCTTAAAAATCTCCAGCAAGCATGCAAAGAATGAGGAAGTACTTCATCAGTGTCACAAATGGTCGGTGAAGGGACAGTTCCCCTAGTGGCCAGAATACCCTCAAGGAAAGCTGGAATGTTAAATTGCCTCTGTGTCTGTCTATATATGTTGTGTGTCTATGGCATTGAATATTTGCCATGTATATGTACATTGTAATCCGCCCTGAGTCCCCTGCAAGGTGAGAAGGAAGGAATATAAATACTGTAAATAAATAAATAAATAAATAAATAAATAAATAAATAAATAAATGTGCAAAAGCCCTCCTAGCCACCTCCAGAACCTGAGGTTCCAGGCTCAGCAATGAGTCCAGGAGAAATTCTTATGCAAAAACATCAATTTTTTTTCAATCAGCTGGCAAGACTCTGTTCCAAAAAGCAGTACTTGAGGTGGCATACCCATGGTTGAATCCTACTCTTGGTAGTAGCAGGTTCCTATAACTGGCTGAAAAGAGATTATGCAGTAAAATGTGCCTATCTCATGCCCATATTAGCTGGTGATACTGATATGATGAAAGGAATAGCTAGGGTGTTGATCCTAGCGTGGACAATGATGGTAGATATCTGTGGCAGGTTTGTAAAACTGTTGAACATTCTAGTAAACACAATTTATAGCATATTTATTTCATTTCTACTATCGTAGACAAATTAGTATTATTTGTAGTTTGGAAGAATTTAGATTCTCTGCACTGGAGCTTTCTAGCAGATAATTCTCACCAAATTGTTCGTGCCAAGATTTTGTCTGATAGAGGTGTGTCCATGGGCATAAAACTGCTATAAATGGATAACGTGTATACACCATAGAACAGGCATCTTTAAGCTGAGGGCCTCCAGCTGTTTGGACCTCCAACTCCAAGAATTCCTGGCCATTGAACAAGCTGGCTAGGTCTTCTGGGAGTTGGGGGGCCAAACAACTGGAGGGCCAAAGTTTGTGGATGCCTGCTCTAAAATGTTGTCCATCAGAGAGTTATTTCACACTAGTCCCATTAGTGTGAATAAGACTTGTTTTTCAATTGATTTTCGTCTATTGAATTGTACACTCAATGGAATCACAGCTGGCAGGCATAATGTAGGGCCAACCAATTCTGTGTGCAAGAAACGGTCAGTTTCAGAATACCCACATCAACTCCACATTTCCTAAACATGAACTCCAGATATCCCAAGTCAACCAGTTAATCAATTCCTTGGATGAACAGCTCAAAAACCTTAGTTTAACATATACTGCATGTTGGTGACTCTATTCTAAGGTTTTCTTGGCAAGCAAGATGTATGTTGGAGGCTGGCTATTGTCTGCCATGAAGTGAGAGAAAATAATTTGCTGAAAAGCCCTCCAGTGAGCTTCCATGGCAGAGTATGGATTTGAACCCTGCTTTCTGGGAGTCATAATCCAATATTCAAATCACTACAACATACTGCCCCTTAAGATAATTATTATTTATCTTTAAACTAAACTCAGACTGGCTAGCCCTCAAACAGAAGAAAATCCTTGGTAAAGCCGTAGTTGGACACTCAGCAGCACTCGAGGTGGCAGTATGCACAGTAGTGTACTGCGGAGGTCAGGGAGTAGTAACCTTGTGCTTGCTGCCAGGCCTCTGAATACTACATGTGCATAACTGTATTTCCTACACCTGTTTCCTCAATCATTATTCTAGGAAGAGACTTGTTTTCCCTTTGCCACACTCTTCTTTATAGGCACACTTGCTCTTTTTCAGTTGTCCTTGCAGGGTGTGTTCAGTCACTTTCCCCGACCCCAGCCAGGATTTTAGGTGTGTACCTGCTCAGTACGTGAGCATTCATTTCCCTCACACCCTTGTGTTCTGTGCCAGCATCTTTGGGCGTGGGCAGGGGAGTTGTGTTTATGCCTTGATTTCACACCTTTTGTATTCATTACTTTGGGTGTCTACTGGGCGTGCATTTGCTACATCCAATTTTTTTAAAAAAAAAATCCAATAAACCCTTAGAGTTAAGGGAGCTTCACTGTTTTTATTGAATTGTTTCTTAACTGTGTTTAAATCCCTTATTTTTAATTTTTGAAATATATTATGAGTAGCTTATTTCAATTTTAATATTAACCTTTATATGGTTTAGTTATATTACTTGTTTCTTTTATAATTCATTTTTATTTGAATGACTTAGACATAGACAAATAAAACAAATAGACAAATATTAGCATTAAGAAAATTATGTATACGTGTATGTATGTGTGTGTGTATTAAACATAAAAAATAATATATTTTTTACTTTTTTCTGTTTATTATATATAAAGGCTCATAGAAGAATAAAAAAATTCTTGATAGTAAGGCATTAGGAAATAGGGAATGAAAATGTTGCATTTTTATATTTTCAGTAATAAATATTGGAAATGATTTTTCTCTTAATTTTCTTTACAATTTTTTATTGGTAGGTTTTAAAAAATAAGTTCACAAACATATCTGAATAATTCAATCTGCTGAAACAATTCACAGCTTGGTTGATCAATCTAGATGGGGTTGTAAGAATAGCCATTGTGAGGACTTTCCAAGGGTATCTCCATTTTAGATGAAGAGGACTGGGAGATTCATATTTTGCCAGCAAAAGTTCCCTGTGCACGCTGCTCATCCCAGCGCTTTACCTGCAGAAAGGGAAAGCAGACAGGAAGTTGGGCACCTTAAGAGAGGAAGCAAGACATATGAATCCACAGCAAAATAAATCACATATTCTTTTCCCTCCCACAAATTCCCTATATAGTTGTGTGTCTTCAAGTTGTGTCTGGGGTTGACTACACAAGAAAAAGAAAACAGTGACTATCTTTATTTGGGTGCTGTAGGAACACATGACACATGATCATTTTAACAGTGAAAGAGCTTTTTAAAGGCTGTAATGTGTTGTTTTTTTTAATCTATAGTTTCAAGAGGGGGAGTGTTTTTTTCAGTGTGTCTATCTGGATCAAGGTGGCATTGAGGAGTGGGGAGGTTCAAATCGGTGGATGGCAAACATCACATTTTTTTTTAAAAAAAATGTCTAATTGGGGCCCTCATTGCTGAAAAGGCAAAACAAACAGTGCCTTTCTCTTTGGGGCTGGCAAAGCATTACCTCTGACTTCCCTGTCAAGCATCACCCCAGCAGAGCCCTACTTGGTCTGAAGTCAGGAGGTGCTGCCTAGCCATGAGATTGGGGGGCGGTGGGGGGGGGGGGAACAATCCATATGTTATGCTGCATACATCATTTGTAGCAAAACAGCATGTTCTTTACTCTAATATGAGTATGTGCTAACTAGATATACATAGGGGATAGTTTGAAACTTTGTTTTGGTTTTTCTTAAAACTTTATTTTATCCAAATTATTTTTAAATCTGGAATTATTTCAAATCCTTTTTTAAAATGCTTCCCTGATATCATGTTTGAGAGCAAGATAGACATATTCTAATAAATAAATAAATAAATAAATAAATAAATAAATAGCTTCAGATTTCACATTTAATACCAGTGTGCTGCTTGACTCTTTGTCTATTTGCAATGCTTGCTTAGGAATTCAAATGTCACTTACCCAAGAAATTGGACATAGGGACTTGTAAACCCTGTGGTACCACTCACATACCGCAGTGTCCTTTCCTTTGGCTTTCATAATCTTCACACATCGGTAATAATCTGTAAGGAAGAAGAAGCGACGTCATAACATCTTTTGAAGTGCTGTCAGTGTCTGCCTAGACTGAGTCATTTAATATTTGTTTAATGTGCTTAATCTGCTTCATAGCTGTGTTTAATGAGCCTCTCAGTTATGGCATCTGTGTCGTGCATAGCCAGGAATACCCTTCTCTCTCTCCACTGAAAATCAAGCTAACCAAGAATACTTTCCAATATTTCACTCTTAATCTACCAAGGAAATATAGCTGAAGTAGAATGACATCTGACCCTATTTTGCTTTGGCTCCTGAGACACCGGTCCTACCCATGTTTACTCAGAAGTCCCATTATGTTCAACAGGACTTACTTCCAAGGAAGTATGATGGGAGCTCAGGATGAGAGCATTCAAGAATGACAAGGATGGTCAACTGGGTGTCCAGAAGTGTTCTGCCTACAGCAGGCGCGTTTGGTGGGGACATGAGACAGGGCCTTTTCTGTGGTGGCCCCCCAACTCTGGAACACCTTCCCCAAAGATCTTAGACAGGCCCCTACGTTGGCAGTCTTTAGAAAGAACTTGAAGACCTGGCTGTTCTGATGTGCCTTTCCAGAATAGGAAAACTCCAATAACAAGTCCCAGAAGCACTTTATTAGAATTAAGATTGTTGGCATACTGCACTTACCTTATAATCCTTATTTATTGTTTATTTATTTACGGCATTTATATGCTGCCCTTCTCACCCTGAAGTGGACTCAGAGCGGCTTACAATATATATTTTCATACAATATATTATATTATTAGCATAGTACAATATCAGTATATATTACTATATTGCACTATACCATTATATTGTAATATTATTAGTAATATTACATGTAATGTAAATATATAATTATAATTATAATATTGAATTATTATTACTAGTATTATATTGTATTACATGATAATATTATAAATATTATATGTATATACAATACACTATATTATATTATTAGTAAAGACAAGATGGAAATGTCTTCTGCTCCCCTCTGTCTTCGCTCTGGCCAGAGCAGCCGTTGGTGCCAGAACTTATCAGCACTTTTAATCTTTACCCATTACTCTGGCCCGGCCCAGTTTTATTGTGTCTTGGTGTATTGTTTATTGCTCGTTGTTTAATTTTGCTTTAACTGTTTTTAATTTGCTTTAGGTTGTGTATTGTTGTGTTGTGTTTTGAGGCCTTGGCCTTTGTAAGCCGCATCGAGTCCTTCGGGAGATGCTAGCGAAAATGTTGTATAATAAGGAGGGATTAACGAAAAGCTTATTAAGCGTCAAATTATGTTATAGTTTTACAAATTAAGCACCAAAACATCATGTTTTACAACAAAACAACAGAAAAAGTAGTTGAATACACGGTAAGAGTATGTAGTAATTACTGTATTTACAAATTTAGCACCAAAACATTGCAATGTATTGAAACAGCTGTGGATCTGGGCAGGAGGCAGACTGCGTTGGAGAATACAGAATGTTGGATGAGCAAAGATTGGATAAGCGAGACTCTACTGTATGTGTAAATAACATACAAAGCCGGAGGGAAAAAATACTTAAGCTTGTATGACAATTGTTACCATTGTTATCATGTCCCTCCAAAATATATCAGAAACAGTTCAACATCACAAATAAAAAAAATTCATTCACTGCAGTGCATCTATCCTCTTTTTAAACTCACCCAAATAATTCTGATAACAGTTACGAGTTTGGTTGGTGTTTGGAAAACGTGGGTCAAATGGAGCTGTGAGATAGTCGCCTTGTTTTTTCTTCAGCTTGGAGAAGTCTTCAGCTGCAAAAACTTTCTGCATTTCTGTGAGGCAGAGAAAGAAAACTCATTCAGAAGAACTGCCACAAAAAAACCCCACAACAATCCCAGCCACCCACTCTTGCTTTTTAGAAAATGTTGGAACTCTGTATCTGAGTGATATCTACCAGTTTTTCTGGTGGAAAATTGCCCCAAAAGACATTACAAGATTAAGAAATGGCAGTGCTTTTCTAGGCCAATCCAACCTGTATCTTTAGCTGAGCAGTTACAATATCTTCTTATCTACAAAACATTCAACCACGTTCAATGCTCCAGTGGGAAGGAATCCCACTAGAGCATTGAAGCACACCAAAATACCTGTGAGTTACCCTGAACCACGCTTTGACTTACAAGAAACACTGCTTGACTATCAGCAAAATTGGGTGCTAGAAATAATGTAATACGAAAGCTGCCTGGCACAACTGGGAATCATAAAATCCCTCCTGGGCACACATAAGACTGCCAATGCCTCAAATCAAGAAACAGCTTTCTAAGATCTACAGAGATACTCGCAGGAACACCTCAGGAAGCAGTTCAAAAGTGGCAGCTTAAAACCCGGAACCTCAATCAGTGGCTGAGATCTGAGGAAAAACTCCCTCCTGGGCACACATAAGACTGGGCGACTTGGAAGGCACTGAACAGACTGTGTTTTGGCACCACGAGATGCAGAGTCAACCTTAAGAAATGGGGCCACAAAGTGGAGTCCACAAAATGCGAGTGTGGGGAAGAGCAGAACATTGTTTGGATACTTTATAAATACCAGAGATCTACAACAACAAAATCTGTGCCCTGTTGAGATATTTGCCCCATCTGCCCAAGGATATTCAGACCATTTTATTCTCAGTGTTTAGATTGCAGTATTGTGTTATTTCCCTATGAAATTGAGCACTACCTACTGAAGATAAGAGTTATCAGCATAATTGTGCATTCATATAGGTTCTGAATTTTCTTTGTAGTGAACACAGCTATTGTTTGTACAGGAATTTAAAGAGAAATACTCCCCCACCCCAAATTAGAACACACGGTTACCACATTTTCAACATTAGCCTTTGAGTCATCCTTGAAATGATATGGAAGTGAATTGAGAGATTATTAACAATGCAGTCTAGGAGCCCATCCAGACAGTTCCTTTATCCCAGGAGCTTCCGCAACAAATAGGAGAGTGGCCAGGCGCCATTCCCTGTAAACGCTGAAGCAATTGCTACAAAAGGCAAAAAATGTGAGCATTCCAGGTGTGGGAATATTGCCGTTTTGAGCCAAATATGCAGACCTTCACATGTCTTTATGTCCCTGCAATCGGAAAGCACAGGATTTTTAAACTGGGCTTGTTCCCAGGTTTTAGATGTCTGTTCCTGATTGGTTGGTTCCTAAAAGGGTGACACTTGAGTAGAAGGCAAAAACTTTGTTTGTGTGCCAGATATTTCTTGATACATATGGAGGGCACATTTTCTGTGGCCAGGATGAAGTTGTGGCCCATAAGTCAATGTTGCACATCTTTTCACAAGAAGAGCGATCAGGAATAGCCATGTGTAACCCAGGAACAGCACCCTGCTGTTTGATGCCACAAGTACACAACCAAATCTGTCTGGGCAGGTGACCAGTCAGCCAGGCTCTTAAAAGTGTCAATAATGACAAAGTTCTGTTCCTGGCTTGAAAGTGTGTGTTCCTGTTTGAGAAGTGGTCCTATCCCATAAACTTTGTTTGTGTGGCAGATACTTCATGAAAAATATGAACGGCACAGATTCTCTGGCCAGGACCAAGAAAAGAACTGTTGCAGTGATTTGCTGCAGTGATTCTCCGTATATCCACATCTTGAGTCTTAAAAAACTGCCAAAATTTCCAGCAAAAGTCCCGCAGCAGCCATCTTGGGAGCCTCTAAATCTCGCAACAAAGCATCAAGTTTGGACAACGGAGGCAGAAATTCCAGGACCAAACTGTCTGTATGTGGACCTCTTCTGAATTCCCAGATTTTTTCCCCTTGTTTAAAACTTGTGATTTAGTGCTAGAAGTGCCCTAATTCATTATACATGAGACTGTCAGTTAACTGCTACATGCCGGATAAATAATTTCTGGTTGCTTGAGAATTACTATTAAAATAGGCCTAACTAATACAGATTGGTTCAAGATTGGGAAAGGCATACGGCAGGGTTGTATACTCTCACCCAACCTATTCAACTTGTATGCAGAACACATCTTTATGAATGCAAGGCTGGGGTAAAAATAGCAGGAAGAAATATTACCAACCTTAGATATGCAGATGATACCACTTTGATGGCCAAAAGCGAGGAGGAGCGGAGGAGCCTTCTAATCAAGGTGAAAGAAGAAAGTGCAAAAGTTGGATTGCAGTTAAACATATAAAAAAACAAGATTATGGCAACCGGACTGATTGATAACTGGCAAATAGAAGGAGAAAACGTGGAGGCAGTGACAGACTTTGTATTTCTAGGTGCAAAAATTATTGCAGATGCAGACTGCAGCCAGGAAATCAGAAGACGCTTACTTCTTGGGAGGAGTGCAACGACCAGTCTCAATAAAATAGTGAAGAGTAGACATCACACTGGCAACAAAAATACATACAGTTAAAGCTTTGTATTTCTAGGTGCAAAGATTATTGCAGTTGCAGACTACAGCCAGGAAATCAGAAGATTCTTGCTTCTTGAGAGGAGTGCAATGACCAATCTCGATAAAATAGTGAAGAGTAGAGACATCACACTGGCAATAAAAATACGTACAGTTAAAGCAACTGCATTCACCATAGTCACCTATGGGATGTGAGAACTGGACCATAGGGAAGGCTAAGCGAAGGAAGGTAGATGCTTTTGAACTGTGGTGTTGGAAGAAAGTTCTGAGAGTGCCTTGGACCACGAGAAGATCCAACCAGTCCATACTTCAGGAAATAAAGCCCGACTGCTCTTTGGAGGGAAGGATATTAGAGGCAAAGATGAAGTACTTTGGCCACATCATGAGAAGACAGGAAAAGCTTAGAGAAGACAATGATGCTGGGGAAAAGGAAGGAAAAAGGAAGAGGGGCCGACCAAGGGCAAGATGGATGGATGGATGGATGGTATCCTTGAAGTGCCTGGCTTGATCTTGAAGGAGCTGGGGGTGGTGACGGCCGACAGGGAGCTCTGGCGTGGGCTGGTCCACGAGGTCACAAATGAACAACAACTAATACTATATCCCATGGTAGTCCATGCCATAAACCAGGCCTGGGCAAACTTGGGCCCTCTCAGTGTTTTGGACTTCAACTCCCACCATTCCTAACAGCCTCAGGCCCATTCCTTTTCCCCTCAGCTGCTTAAGCAGCTGAGGGGGAAAAGGAAAGGGCCTGAGGCTGTTAGGAATGGTGGGAGTTGAAGTCCAAAACAACTAGAGGGCCCAAGTTTGACTATGCCTACACGAATGTATGTTAGACCCTCTTCTGAATCCATAAATCATAGGATTTAATCAATTTGAGCTATATCCAGAACACTAACTCAAGGCTTTGAAAAGGCCTCTGCAGTCAGCTCTGGAAGGGTGAAATGGCAGAAATGGCCAAAGTTTTCTTCAGAAGGATGTTTGGCTTCCCTTCTCTCTTGTGTACTGCCATAGAATGGAACAGAAGTAAGGAAGATGAATGGGCAAAACACTCTAGCCAATCAGATACCAGTTGCTGATCTGGCAACTGATCATTGGCCCAAGATTTGAAGCAACTGACAGAGAGAAAATGGCCGCCATATTGTTACAACTTGAGGGCCCTTCCACACAGCCCTATATCCCAGAATATCAAGGCAGGAAATCCCACAATTTCTGCTTTGAACTGGGTTATCTGAGTCCACACTGACAGATATTCCAGTTCAAAGCAGATATTGTGGGGTTTCCTGCCTTGATATTCTGGGTTATATGGCTGTATGGAAGGGCCCTGAGTTTCCCTCATCCAAAATGTGTGAGCTTTGGGCCCTTCCATACAGTCCTATATCCCAGAATATCAAGTCAGAAAAAAATCCCACAATATCAAAGTGTGGACTCAGATAACCCAGTTCAAAGCAGATATTGTGGGATTTTCTGCCTTGATATTCTGGGTTATATGGCTGTGGAAGGGCCCATAGATAATTATAATAAATATTTAAAATATCAAGGCCGAAAATCCCACATTATCTGAGTGTGGACTCACAAAACCCAGTTTAAAAGAGATATTGTGGGATTTTCTGCCTTGATATTCTGGGATATAGGGCTGTGTGGAAGGGCCCTCATATAATATTCTGGGTGCCCTTCCACACAGCCCTATATCCCAGAATATCAAGGCAGAAAATCCCACATTATCTGAATGTGGACTCAGATAACCCAGTTCAAAGCAGATATTGTGGGATTTTCTGCCTTGATATTCTGGAATATAGGGCTGTATGGAAGAGTCATTTTTGTAACAGACTTGAATTATTTATTAGATGACACTTCCAGGCATGGACAAAAATCGAACCAGAAACACCTGGGAACCAGTTTAGGTCATTCACATCTTGTCATGTAACTTTTTAGGCAGGTTGTAAGTATTTTGAAAGCTTAGAGAAGACAATGATGCTAGGGAAAATGGAAGGAAAAAGGATGAGGGGCCGACCAAGGGCAAGATGGATGGATGGGATCCTTGACGTGACTGGATTGGCCTTGAAGGAGCTGGGGGTGATGCCGACTGACAGGGAGCTCTGGCGTGGACTGGTTCATGAAGTCACAAAGAGTCGAAACGACTGAACGAATGAACAAGTATTTTGCAGCTCTGTACTGCCATCTTAAGGGCTTTTTTTTGAAGACTACATAGCTAAGGAAGACTGGAATACACTGGAAAAGTCTGCAGTGGAAAGAAACCCCATTGAAACAAAAAAGAAATTCCATATGAAGACCATTGTATTCTTCTTAACTTTGATGAATAATAAGACTGATCTCTGAGGCCCCTTCCATACAGCTAAATAAAGTTCCACATTTTCTGCTTTGGTTTGGAATATATTGGCAGTGTGGATTCAGGTAGCCCAGGGC